AACGCCTTCGACGGGGTGACCCAGCGCGGCCTCACCTGGGCCCCGGGTTCACCAAGAGCAGGCGCTTGTTCGTTCGTTTCATCGGAAGGCTGCGCTCGGTTGGCATGCTGCGACTTACGTCAGAGCCCGTTGAGTCTGTCGGATGCTTCTTCGCCTGGAAGAAGGGAAGACAACATATGAGGATGATGGCCTGTGCGAGACGGGCCGACCGGCGAGTACTGCACATTTCCCGCGTTGACCTTCTCACGGCGGAGGGGCTGCCCCGCGTCGAGGTGACCGTGGACGGCGACCCCTGCCTGCTGAAGAGTTCGAGCTGGGGAATTCTGCGCGCCCTCCGCGTCTGCCCGGGGGGTGGGCGATGTGGGGAATTGTTTCTGCGGGATGGCGATGCCGCCTTGGCTCAGCCCGCTGTTCAGCTACCCAGCCGCGAGCGCGCCCGAGCTGCTCCTGGATGCCGTCGAGGCGATCGAGGGCAGATGCGCGGCCGGCGACGACCTGATCTACCCTTGCTGCCGCTCCATGCTTATGGGGTTGTCCTGGACCTTCTACTTTTGCCAGAACTTGAACGGCAACTTGGCGTGGCATTGGGGCCTGCTGCGCGGGGCCCGTCTGGCCTCCGACCGCGGCGAGCATGCGGACTTCAGGCTATGGGGCGGCGGCGAGCGGGGCCTTTGGCGTTGCGTCTACATTGACAACCTTGGCATTATGTATGGGCCAGGGCTCGCACTCCGTGAAGAAAGCGCTGGGGGAGACGGTCGCGGCTTTCAACGAGCTGAAGCTGCCGCGCTTGGCGTCGGCATCGACTGCGAGCTCCTCTGCGCCTCCATCACTGGCAAGAGACGCGCCCGCCTGGGGCGGGCCCTGGCCTGCGCGAGGCAGCGGGGGGCGATGTCTGGGCAAGACTTGGAGTGCCTGCTGGGCCACCGTGCCTATGCGGGCCGCGTGGGGTGCGAGGTTCTCGGCGCCATCTCGGCCAGCTACGCCTTCGTGCAGGCCAGCTGCTGGGGCGGGCAGCAGGCGTGGAGCTCCGTCCGCGAGGAGCTGAACTGCTTCCGCGGGCTGTTGGTCTTCCCCTGCAGCGATTGGGTGCCCCCCTGGGACCGCAGTGTCACGGCCTCTGATGTCTCCGAGAGTGGCCTCGGCGTCGCGTCCACGGTGATCGACGCTCAGGCCGTTGCCCGGGTCGGCCGCGTGGCCGAGCTTGCCCGCGTCCGCCTGGACCTCGAGCTGGACCCTCGTCAGCGCGCCGTGCGCCGCGCCGGCGTCGACGACGGCGAGGGCGCCGGCCCCTGGCGCCCCGCCGCGCCCGAGGCCGCGCCAGAGGGCACCTGGGCGTTGGGTGAGGGCTTCGAGGAGATGCCCGCGCGGTGGCTCGAGCAGTCCCGCTGGGCCCTCTGCCGCAGTGGCGTCTGGGACAGGCCCGAGGGTATTGCCATTGTGGCCGCCCGTGCCGTGCTGGTTTCTGTCCGTCGCCTCGTCCAGACGCGTTGGGCCGCGACGTCGGGCGCGTCCACCTGTGCGACAGCGCGGGGGTGCTGACGTCCATCTGCAGGTCTCGTTCAATAGGCTATGCGATGCTGGTCATTATCAGGCAAATCAACGCCTACCTCCTGGCTCGCAACATCCGTCTCGCTGTCTGTTGGATTCCGAGCGAGCTCAATGGTGCCGACGGGGCATCCCGAATCTTTGATGACAGCGCCCCCTGTTCTTCAGACTGGTGCATTCCGCCTTACCTTCAACAACAGCGTTGATGCCCCCCGGGGGCCCCAGGAGGCTAACGTCATCAGTGAACAACCACGCGAGCTTCCACGCCTACATGTGCGTTGCAACGGGCATGACACAGCAACGTGATCAAGTTCTCATAGTACTTGCAACAACACTGCCGGTAAGCATGAGCCTCAAGAACTACAGCATCTAGTTAGTGAATTCAGCGAGCCAGCGAAGGCCGAACCTCATGGGCTACGTCGTCAGCCTCATCAGCTAGCCGAGCCAGCCCCAGCAGCTCCCCCAGCCGGCGTCCCGCGGGGCTCTGCTCCGTCGACCGCTGCCCAGGCTCAAGAACATGGTCGGCGACGCCGCGCCCCATCAGAGGCGAGGCCTCCCAGCGGCCGGGCCGCGTGTTCAGCCGAGCGGGCTCTCTTGGGCGCTGGCGGCGTCGCTGCCCCAGGCCAGGGGGGCGCGCGGGTTGCCTGCGCCGCCGCGTCCGCTCCTCTCCCCCGCGAGGCTGCGGGGCTGGCGCGGCGCGGGCGGGCGCTGAGCCGACGGGCGGCGACCGTGGGTCGCCCGCTGTCGGCCGAGGCTCGCGCCCTGGCCAGGGCGCAGACGCTGCAGGCGCTGGCGGAGGCGCTCCCCGAGGCCGCGAGCGGCGCCTTCGGCGAGCCGTTTGGTTTTCGCCGGCGGGGGAGGTCGCCCTCCCCGAGCATTGGCGCGACATCCGCCAGCGATGTCGCAGGCGGCCGTCGCCAGCGTGCCATGCTTTGCCGCTCCGAGTCTCGCCTCCGCGTGCACCTCGAGAGGGCAGTGGGGGCGTTGTGGGGCGGCCCCGCCCCGCGGGAGGCGCGGGCGGTCACGCGGGCCGTGCGCGCGGAGTGCCAGCTGGACGTGGTCCGCCCCAAGGGCCTCGCGATGTCTCGGGGGAAGGGCGTCGACGACGTCGCGGGCTCCGCGCCGGGCGCCCTCCTCGCCGACTACTTCGAGGGGGCCTTCTGCGCCGGCGAGGAAGCGATGAGGAGGGCCGGAACGTTGGCTGGCTGGCGTCGCCCGTGCCCCAGCTTCAGCCGCCTGGGCTCCAGGCGGCGCCATTGGGCCGGGCGGGCCCCCCGCGGCTGGCGCATGCAGTGCCCTGTCCGCTCGCGGAAGCCCGAAGTTGTCGGAGTCTGGTTCAGGCTGATGAGCGCCCTGGTGATGGGGGCAGGCGCGGCGTGGCTTTGTTCGCGCTCATCTCGCTGTCCACCTACCTGCGCCTGGGGCAGCCGCTGGGGGTCCGCGGCTCGGGGCTCGCCCCCCCGAAGGCGGGGGCGACGGCCCGCTGGTCGCTGCAAGTTCAGCTAGAGGAGCGAGCCAGCCGCCGCAAGCTCGGCGATGCCAGCGTCTCGGCCCCCCTGGGCTCGGTCTTGGCCGCGTGGATGGGGCCAGCGCTCGAGCGCCTCGAGGTGGCGACGGGCGACGGGCCGCTGGGGGCTTCCGACTGCGTGGAACTGCCGAAGAAGTTTCGCCGTGTGGCGCAGGCCGTTCCCATGCCCAAGCTGGTGCCGTGCCGGGCTTGGCTTCCATGCTCATCCATCGATGCAGCTCGGGCGGTGCGGGCGCTGGTGGACATCAAGATGATATGGAAGTGGCGCAGCGGCAAGGGTTTCTTGCGGTTCGAGTGGCGCGCGCGTCTCGCCGTCGGGCACCACGGGCGCCCGAGCGCAGTCCAGAGGTGGGATGCCGAGTGCGGGCGACGAGCAGAGGCGATCATTCTCCGCGGACGGGTCGCCCTGTGGCCGCGCAGGGGCGCCAGGGCGCGATTGGCGCGCGCTTCGCGGGCGCCTTCGCAGGCAAGGGCGGCGTCGCCAAGGCCGTCAAGAGGCGCTGCTTCCAGGCGCGCGTCGGCGAGAGGTCCCGCGGCAGCCGCGGTGACCTGGCCGCGCCGCGCGCCCTTCGCCGCCTTTTGTCGGGCATCCGTACCGAGAGATGTCGAGGCGTAATGCTTGCGCCTCCCTGCTCCTCCTTTTCTGTCGCGAAGGCCCGCCCTTCCCCGATCCGTAGTCTGACGCGTGCTTGGGGCCTCCCGCGGTCCCAGACGCTCCCGACTGACTGGGCAAAGCTTCAGGGCGGCAGCAAGTGTTAGCGCGTTGCGTTGAATAGAATATCAGCGTGTAATTCCGCAGACGTCCATTGGATTTTGGAGTGTCCGCGCAGTAGCTACGCGTTCAGAGCCCCCGGGGCTCCTTTCTCTCGCGAGCAGACCCCATGTCTCTGCAGTTGTCTCAGATGTTTGCCAGCTTGGCGCCAGATGGAGGAAGCGGACTCGCTTCCTGGCCGGCCACCTTCACCCCGGTGAGCTCGCTACGTTGCAGAGAACTTGCGTTGGGCGTGCCCGAGTCTGTAGCCGGACCGGCAGGCCACATCTCGTGCTCGAAGGGGCTTCGCCCAAGGGGGTGAGGTGGACTAATTGCCCAGACGTGCCCCCAACCTTTCAATAATGCGTTGGCGTCAGCGCCTACGTCCCAAGTCAAGTCTCTTTTCCTTCAAGTTTGAGAATGCATCCTGTTTTGGGATGCCACGGGAAATCTACGCACATAGATTATGGCAGCTGTCAGCAGATGATTACCTAATATTGATTTGCGCGATGACTTGGTGGTGTTCACGAGAATGTATCAGCGATTGAACATGCATCACTCCTGCGGAGTTCGCCGCCCCCCGCTTGCAACGGCATGGGGGCGCGCGCGCGCGTAAATGATGTATAAGCGGCCTTTTGTCGCCACTTGTGTGGGCCCCTTCCCGTCTTGGGCGCGGGGCGCTTGGATAACTGCGCGTCGCGGCCCTTGGGCCCCGCTCCTGTGTGCTCGCGTTGTTTAGGGGTGGGTCTTGGCACTCGGCCTTTAGCCGGCTCTCCGTTGCTATCTTTTTTTGCCCCCGCCGCCAGCCCCAAAGTCTTTCGCGTTCTTAATTCGTTTTCCCTTCTCGATTGCACTGTGCTGTCCATCTGGGAAATCTACGCGCGCAGCTGTAGGCAGCATTCAGCACATAATTCTCTAATGCTGATATACGCGATGACTTGGTGGTGTTCACGAGAATGCAGCAGCTAGTGGAAACGTGCCACTCCTGCGGAGTTCGCCGCGCCCCGCTTGCAACGGTATGGTTCTGATGACGAGGATGACGATGATGACGATGATGATGCTGATGATGATGATGATGTTAATGATGATGATGCCGACGATGAGACAGGCGTCTATGCTGCCACCGCTGGAATCAGACGAGTCGAGTCAGGTGGCTGTTGGCTGTGCCGTTGGCGCCGACCCCGCTGCTGGTGGGGAAGTACAGCTCAGCCGACTGCAGTGGCGGATCAAAGAAATCGCGCTTCGACGCGTGATTGAGGCTACGTCCATCTCCCGCGACAGCCGCGCCTTCCGGACACGCGCAGCCGTGGCCAGCGAGGGCCGCGTCTGCGTTAGTGACCGGGTGGAGATCCACGGGCCTCCGAGTACACGGGATGAATCAGGCTTGGTGGGCCGTGGGACTGTCATGTCTATCGATCCGACTCGAGGCAACGTAACAGTCAGGTACCGCCGGGCCGACGATATTTGCATATTGCAGGGCGTCAGGCCCATCATCGGTGCCGTTTTCGACGACATGGGCGCCCGCTTGGCTTGAGCTGGCCTGGCCCTGGACCGAGTGGAGGATTTCGTCGCGCACGACATGCCAGGCTCAGTCGCCAGGATCTTCTGCACCTGGGAGGGCGTGAGTGACGCGCAGATGACCGCGCAGACGCGGCAACGCCTAGACATCCTCGGAGCTCTACGCCACGTATCTTGCAGATGCTTCCTGCTGCCAGGTGATCGTGCTACGCGTTCATTGCGCGGCCAGAAATCTGTGGGAGATTGGCCTGGCTGCGCCCGCAGCCTGGTTATCTGGTGGTACCCTCCTAATCTAAGTGATATGCATCAAATTCACTTGGGCGCCCTCAAGTTCGGCGCCCGCGCGCTCGTCGGCGAGCGCTGGAAGGGCGCTCGCACCATGCAGTTCATCATGGGTGACGAGACGCTTATGGCAGCGTGGGCCGGACAGGATCCATATGAGGTGTTTGACGCTGTGCGGCCGACGTTCTCGAGGACTCTGTCAGCGCCACTGAGGGGGGATTGCCGTCAGCACTGTCGGCCATATCTGAGGGCGCTGGCAGCGACTTCTCGGGTCACATCCAGCAGGTCACGTTGGCAGCGTTGCATGAAGTCGATGGGGCAGAGGACCTGGCCCTGCAGTTGGAAACCCCTCTCTAGCGACGACTACAAGCATATGGTCTACGCTGCTGCCGAGCATGCAGCGGCTGATCTTGGCCGCCGGCCGCGGGAATGGCTTCGGCACTTCGAGGCGCAACGCCAGCGCCAAAGCATATGCGCGCAGTGCCACTGCCGCTTGCGCGGTGCCGCCCTGGACGACACTGCCGCACTTTCGGAGGGGGGCGAACGAGGAAGACGCGTGGAGTTGTACCTCGACCCAGGCGCGCGAGAAGCATTTCTGAGCTTGAGCGAGGAAGCGCCCGGCAGCTGAGTTGCCGGCGCTGCCTGGGCAGCCGTGCTTAACGCGTGCGCCGCCGTCGAGGTCGCGGTCGTCAAGCGCGACGCCGCTCTCCTGACCGAGGAAGAGGTGTCCAGGCTTTCCAAGGAGGTGTCCGCCGCCGTCCTCGAGGAGCCCACCGCCTGGGTCAAGTGCAAATGTTTCGAGCGGTGACCGCTCGCGGGCGCGCGAAACGTCGGTGACTCCAGGCGCGTCTTCAAGCGGAAGCGCTGGGGGGCTCCCGACGGCGAGACCGCGCGGATCATCAAGTGCCGCATGGCGCTCCGAGGCTTCCGCGACGTTGGCGCTGGCGCCCTGGAGACGTTCGCGGGGGCAGCCAAGCGCCCCATCGCAGTGCGCCCTGTCCTCGGAGGTGGCGCGCCGCCCGGACTGGGTCCTCGTCGCCGTGGACGTCGATGAGGCATTCTTGCGGGGCATGGCGTATGCCGAGGTGCAGGGGCAAGATGAAGCACCGCGCGAGGTGAACTTCACCCCGCCGCCCGGCAGTGCAGCTATCCTCTGGCAGGTTCCCGGCTGCGAGTCCTTCGGCGAGAGGGCCGAGCGCCTGCGCTGCATCGTGCCGGGAGCGGGCTGCAGGGGCGCGCCCCGAGCCTTCTCCATGGGCGTCGCCCCGGTCACGCGCTCGCCAGAGTGCAGCGCCGAAGTAGCAGGGGGGGGGGCCAGAGCTTGAGGTCAAGCGTGAGGTGTCTGGCAATTCTGTTGCTGGCGACTCATGGCTTGCGCTCGCGTTATCCAAGCGCGTTGGCGATCTGAAGATCGCCGGGCAAAGGGGCGCGTCGATGTCATCGGCCATGTCGAGGGCGTCTTCGGCAAGTTGAAGGGGGGCAACGGCGACTTCGCCCGCTGCGGCGCCCACCGGCGCGGCGGCCCTGGCGGGTCGCGACGCTCGGCCAGGACGAGTGCATCGACGCCCTGACGCCGATCAGGCGCGTCGACCTGGCCAAGGCGACGGCCGACGAGCCCACAGGAGGTCAATTGCCCAACTTCTTCGTCTCCTTGCTGGGGGCAGCTGCTGGCGCCCCGCTCGCCCAGCGCCGCGCCGCGGCGCGCGTCGCGGGGCTGCAGCGTGCCAAGAAGTGCGATGCGCTATGCAGGTGAATTCTGTGGTTCTCGCGATACAGAAGATTGATGCGCGCGTCGCGTTTCGCGCCATGGAATGCGCTGGCCAGGTCCACGTGCTCGGCGACGGGCTCCTCAGGAGAGAGGAGGAGACAGGGTGCGGCATGCGACGCGCCACCTACGCGCGGCTCGGCACGTGTCGCGGCGCAGGCAAGGAGGTCCGCCGCTTGCTTGATGCCGTGGGGCCATCGCGCAAGCCTGTGCGGCTCGGAGCTGTTCGCAGCACGCGTCGCATCTGTGGGTTTGCAGGCTTGCCTCCTCGCGCGCCGCGAGACTTCCCAGGCCTGGTCTCAGCCGATGAAATCAGGAGGCCGAGGGGGCAAGGAGGTTACGTTTTACGTTGTTCCTGCAGCCGTGGTCGTGGGCGGCATGTCCGTCTTCGCGACCGTCGCCGTGGATCCTGTGCGTCCGCCTTCAGAGCACAGCATGACAGGCCGCCTGTGGGGGCTCTCTGGCCAGTTCCGTATGAGTCAGATCACCGACATGCTCTGGTGCCATACTCGCGGCATGAGGGCCGACCCCGCGACGAAAGGGGTTATCGTCTTGGAGCTGATATTGGACGTGATGTGCGGGGAGTTCAAGTGCGTCCACCCCGTGGGCAGACTTAACGACGAGAGGCGCAATGATACCGTGCCTAGTTCCCTGCAGAACGACTTCAGCGCGGCGGAGGAAAGTGCACCATTTGCGGCAGGAGCAGCTGTTCGTTTCACTGCATTCATTTCTGTTGCATGGTGCTTCATCAACTGTCGTATGTCGGCGAACTGTGATCGCGAATGAAACGTAGTGGGAGAGACAGAGGCAACCACATAGGCGAACTATGCTCGCAAATGAGACGTAGTGAGTCATCAATGAGGGCCTATTTCTGCGAACGGTGCTTGTGGGGTAGCAACTTTGGCGTGTAGCGCGTTAATCATCTTCTATGCTCCTCCAGTTGTCTGCTTCCCCCGTTCCTTCAGTTCATTGTGGGGGGTTAGTTCGCCGGTTTCGGCTTGTGTCATAGGCTTCGGGAGTATCTCCACCCTCTCCACGGGCACCGTCCAAGTTTTTTGCGGTTGGCGCCGTGGAGAGGCCAATGTGCTTTCGGTAGTGGAATAAAGTCCGAACCCCACGGGATGTGCCTAAACAGGCGAACCCTTCCTCACAGCAAGTGTGTATGCGCCCTCGTTGGTTGCAGCGCGGCTTGCGTGCTGTGACCGGCGGGGCACAGGCATATTCGTTTGAGCACCAGGCTCGAACGGTAACCTACTGTCTGTTCTTGCCCCTTTAACTCTCTTGAGTGTTATTTCTTCTCCGCTGCCGCATCGGGCCGGGCGCGGAGGCTGGCCAGTTTCCGTGCTCGTGTTAGATCCGTGTTTACCGTGTTCATATGTTTTCGCTGAAAAATGGCACCCATTATCGCACCATCCGTTTTCATAGTGTCGTCGTCGTCCTCCTTCTCGTCCTCCCCCCCTCCTCCTCCTCCTCCCCCTCCTCCACCTCCTCGTCCTCCTCCTCCTCCTCCTCCTCCCTCCTCCATCTCCTCCTCCCCCTCCTCCTCCTCCTCGTCCTCGTCCTCGTCCTCCTCCTCCTCGTCCTCGTCCTCCTCCTCCTCCTCCTCCTCCCCATCCTTCCCAAAAAACTAGGAATAACGTGTGATGGGCGTCCCTTCGACCTAAGCGAACTTAGCGCGACCCAGCTGCGTGGTCGAGTGTTCCCTTCAGACCGGTGCAGTGGAAGCGAGGACACTGCGGCGCAGCGCTCTTTTGAACGGAAAGGCGACACAATGTAGCACAAGGCGGAGCCATGCAGTGCAACACAAACAAGGTCAAGACAAAGCCTTAATTAGTGCAGCGCGCGCTACCCAGTGCAAGGTGGTCATCGCAATCCAAGGCGATCCAATACAGGGCATGCGAACCAACGCATGCGAAACAGTGCGATTGAGTGCACATCAATGCAACGCATGCCAAGCAGGTCCAAGTCAATGCAACTCAATGCAACTTGGAATACTTCAAAGCAGTTTTAAACATTGTGTTTCAAACAACTGCAAAGCCAAACGACACATGCAAAGCAACACTGTGCAACAGCACGCACACACGCACACACACACACACACCAATGCAAACATAATGAAACCACGAAGGGTCGTGTGACAAAATACGTGGACACTGTGCGTGTTCGAAGGTTCCAGTTGGGCTTTTTCGTTGTCGTCGTGGTCGTGGTCGTGGTCGAGATCGTGGTCGTTGTCGTCGTCGTCGTCGTTGTCGTTGTCGTCATCGTGGTCGTCCTTTTTCTCCGGATCCTCAGGGAACCCAGCCTGGGCTTTGGTACGTCCTAGCAGGCTGCCGCCCCTGGCCAGGTGGACGGGAGATACGTGCCGGACTTCCAGTTCCGGTACCTGAGCGAGGAGGGGAGGGGAAAGGACGGGGAAGTTCAGGTGCAAACCCAGGGGAAGGGTGGAAGAGGGGGGAAGGGAGGTGTGGGGATGGATGGGAGCAACGAGGATCCATCTTAGCTCGTTCCATTCTTTCTTCAGCATCAATGCTGGTCAGATCCGTTGTCGAAAATCGTTTTCATCCGGACGGCTCCCGTTTGACGCCCCATTTTGTAAATCTGTTTTCTAATTATTGGCCGACTCTGAACTACTGTGGCTTAATGGCCCGTTATTCGGGTTTGATAGTTTTTAATCGTTCTTGCTAAGACCTCCCAGGAGTTGCCTTTTAACCTACTCTCTCCATCGCCCCCATATTTTCATCTCTTTGCTTTTGGTATTTCTCCGCTGCTGCAGCTGCGGCAGCTGCTTATCCTTCGCATTCTCGCCATTTAGTGTGACTAAAGTTACCTTCTTCTCTATCGTGATCTTCTCATTACGCATCCTTCCCCTTCTCTTGGCCTCCTCCTCGTCCATCTACTATTCTAGACGCTTCGCGTAAATCCACCAGCCCATCTAGAAACAATGCCCAGGCGAGTTGCCCTGATGAGGGATGTGCAGGAGCATGCGGTGGCATGCAGGGTTGGACAAGCCGTCATGCCCCAAGAGGGAGAGTATGGAGGAGGAATCGGAGGAGGAGGAGGAGTTGGAGGAGGAGGAAGAAGGAGGGGGAGAGGGAGGAGGGAGGAGGGAGGAAGAGGAGGCGGAGGAAAAGGCGGATGATGATGAGGAGGAGGCGGAAGCGGAGGAGGAAGAGGGGGAGTATGATGATGATTATGATGATGATGGGATGATGATGATGACGACGATGTTTATGATGATGATGATGATGATGATGATGATGATGACGACAATGATGATGATGCTGCTTATGAGGATGACGATGCTGATGATGATGATGATGATGATGATCATGCTGCTGCTGATGCTGATGATGCTGATGATGATGACGATGATGCTGATGATGCTGAGGGTGGTGATTGTGACGATGATGCTGCTGCTGATGCTGCTGATGATGCTGATTATGCTGATGATGCTGCTGCTGCTGAGATGCTGATGTGGCTGATGATGATGATGTTGATGCTGGTGCTGATGATCATGCTGCTGCTGATGATGATGCTGATGATGATGCTGATTATGCTGATGATCACGATGATAATGAGTATGATGATGACGATGATGATGATGATGATGATGATGATGATGATGATGATGATGATGATGATGATGATGCTGAGGGAGCCGATGATGATGCTGATGATGATGCTGATGACGATGCTGATGATGATGCTGATGATGCTGATGATGATGATGCTGATGATGATGCTGATGCTGATGATGCTGATGATGCTGCTGCTGCTGATGATGATGATGATGCTGCTGATGCTGGTGCTGATGCTGATGATGATGATGATGCTGATGATGATGCTGATGCTGATGCTGATGCTGATGATGATGATGATGATGATGATGATGATGATGATGATGATGATGATGATGATGATGATGATGATGATGATGATGATGATGATGATGATGATGATGATGATGATGATGATGATGATGATGATGATGATGATGATGATGATGATGATGATGATGATGATGATGATGATTGGAGGAGGAGGATTATTATGCTGCTGATGCTGATGCTGATGCTGATGATGCTGCTGATGATGATGCTGCTGCTGATGCTGATGCTGATGCTGATGCTGATGCTGATGAAGCTGCTGATGATGGTAAAGAAGACTAGTAATAAGAAGATGCGTAGGATGAGGATGATGATGAGGAGGAGGAGAGAAGGAAAAGGACGAGGAGGAGGAAGAGGAGGAGGAGGAGGAGGAGGAGGAAGAAGAAGAAGAAGAAGAAGAGGAGGGCGAGCAGATAGGCCAGAGGTCTCTTGGATGCCTCTCGGAGTATTTTCGGACGTCTGGGGGGCCTTTTGGCGGTCCCGGGGGTCCTCCTTGGCGGTCCCAGGGGGCCTCTTTGAGCGTTTTGGGGTGCTTCCGGGGAGTCTCTTGGGGCCTCGGGGAGGTCTCTTGGGAGCCTCTTGGTGACCTGTTGGGGGCCTCCTGGGGCCTCCTGGGCCTGTCTTGGGGCGTTCTTGGGGAACTCTTGGGAGCCTCGGGGGCCTTCTTTGGGCCAGCTTGGAGGAGTTTGATTAAAGAAGGGCGGGGCTAATTAACACTGCCCCCCTAGTGCTCCGGTCAGGCTTGGAGGAAGAGGTCAGACGAGATCTGGTCAGGCTTGGAGGAGGTTGATATTGACGTCGATGGCATCAAAGCGGACCTCGAGGACACCTACACCACGAAGGACATCATGCAGCAGACCAAGAAGGATTCACAGTTCGGCCAGGAGGTGGAAGTCATGAATGACAAGTTGAAGGAGCTTCAGGATCAGGTCAACGCACTCAGCCAGGCCAGGGATGTAATCGCACAGGGTGCTGGCGCTGCCATGGCAGACGGTTCCGCGGAGGAGCGAACGAAACACGTTTTGGTTTTTGGTTTCCGGGACAGACAGGAAGCATCCAAGGTTGAGCAAGATGTTACCACTATCCTCGGAAAGGTGCTTGGCAAGGATTCCTCACCTAAGGTCTCTACTCTTTCTAACCCTACCAGAAGGGGGGTGACCACTTAAAGCAGCATCCGGGGCAAAATCGACTTCTACAAGGCAGCCAGGGACTACGCAGACCGGTCTATCTTTGGTGAGCTGTTCTTCAGGAGCAACCTGACCAAGGCGGAGCGCGCGCAGGTCAAGAGGATGGGATATCCCAGGCACTTTTTACGCGACACTGATGAAGGGGAGGAGGAGGACGTGTAGGTGATTTGGAGGAACAAGATGGTGAAGGTGGGAAGGGGGAAAGTCGCATGGCTTGATGACGACGGGAGGTGGCACCCAACCAAAACAGCTCAACACGTTGAAGAAAACGTGGGCGCTGCCATGAAGAAGTGGTGGAAGTTCGACAGGACCCTGTCACGGAGAGCGAATGACGGGAGTTTGCTCCCGCATTCATCGGTTCGCGAGTTAGATTCAGATGATGATTATTTGCATAATTGCGACGACGTTGTTACTCGCATCCCCGCGCTGAACGTTTTTGTTTACAACGTCCATTCCTTCGTGGATTTTGACGCGCGCTTTGAGGCCATTATGTTTGGGCTGGGCGACCGCAGCTGGGACGCAATCGTATTTGTGGAGACCTTGGGAGAGCAGCGGCGAGAGGCCTTCGAAACGGAGGGCGGGCACGCGTGGCTAGGAAGTGGGGCGTGAAGGGTTCGAGCGGAGTGGGCATTTTGCTGCGCAGAAGATGGGGGTATGAGAGTTTCAGTGCTGTGTCGAACAGAATTGTGGCAGTGACAGTGGTGGCTCGCGGCGTGAGCGTCGACGTCGTAGGCGCATGCGTGCCTCGCGTTGGGAAGCCGGATGTGATGGTGGAGGCGCTGCGCGAATCAATTGAGACACATTTGGGCGCCAACCTTTTATTTATCATTGCTGGAGACTTCAACGCAGAGGTCGGGCCTGGTAGCGTCATGGGCCCCTTCCCTGGCAATCTCGTTGATGGAGTTGTTCGTGGCCCCAACCCCATGGGGCATAGTCACGCACGCGGCGAAATGCTCGTCAATTTGTGTCTTCTACACGAACTGATTCGTATGAGCTCGTTTGATAACGCGGCCCGAGCTCTTTTGCGGTTTCTCGCGGATGGCATTTCGGGCAGGCAGTTCGATTTCATTGTCGTTCCATGTAAGTGCGGAAGGCGGTGCTGGCATGCCGGGTTGCGCCGGACATCGTCGCTGGATCTGACCGCCGAGCGCTGCTGATCGCTGCTTCCCACGGACGGCGCCCCCGGAAAGCGGCTCCAAGACGCATGGCGCGATGGCCGCCGCATGCGGATCGCGACGCGCATCGCGATCGGGTGGGCTCATGGGGATGCTGGGCGCGAAGATGGGCCACCAACGCATCTCGCATGCGCGATCGAGGAAGCGATGGCCCAGGCAACTGCCACCGCCGCGAACAAGTCAGGCTTCCAGCAGGCCGACTTGCATTCGGGCCCCCCCCCGCCATCGACAGTCTGATCGCCGAGAGGCGCGCGTTGAGATCCCAGCGAGATCTTGGGGGGGTGCGAGGCGTGCAAAACGCACGGGGCTAACCAAACATATCAAGAAGCACCTGTGGCGCAACGCGCAGGTCGGGAAATCCGCCAACGTAGGGGTGATTTTAAACGAGTCCCGAGGCCTGGAGGAATTGACAAATTGCGGATCGAACCAGGGGGCGCTGCACATCGCTCGCGCGCGCGCGCGGAACGGTATCATTAATTAATGAGTCCAAGCGGGGCGTCGCAGAAGTGATCGCCACATTTTACGAAGACTTGTGCTTTTCTTCTCTGGCACATGAAGGGCGCGATTATCGAGCTCTGGATAGCCGCGTCGCGTTCCGGCATTTACCTCTGCGGAGTAGGGTGCCGCTCTGCGCCTTGAAGTCTGGCAGATGTCGCGACGCCGGTGGGGTAGCAACTGAAATTTTGAAACGCGGCGGGCAGGTGCTCGGAGATCGTGTGCTGGAGCTGTTCAACGTGGCAGTCAAGCAGGACAGAGACCCTCTGGCTTCATGGCGACAGACTAAGCTTGTAGTGCTGTTCAAAAAGGGCGACCCGGAGTGGCCGCAGAACTATCGCCCGATCGCCACTTTACCTGTTCTATGCAATGTCTTCGCGCGGATGCTCTGCGGCAGGCTGCTGCCCATCATTCTGCGTCGCCGACCTCCGGGCCAGGCCGCCTGCAGGCCGGGCCTCAGCACTGGGGACCATCTGTTGGCTTTAACGTTGTTAGCGGAAAATGCGACCAAGGGAATCAACCTGCATGGTTGGGCCTCGTAGATGTCGAGAAAGCTGTCGACAATCTGCTCTTCGGCGCGTCCTGCTGGAGTTCAACATCTCTGATTCGTGCATCTCGCTGTTGCGAAAGTTTTGCAAGGCCCAGTTTGCCACTCTGGCGACTGGGGTGGATTCGAGGCCCTTCTGCTTGGCGCGCGGAGTCAAACAGGGTTGCCCTGTCAGCGCCCTACTTTTCATTGCTGTCATGGAGTCCGGTTTCTTGAAGATGAGAAGGAAGTGGGGTGACTTCAATGGGCGGCGCACAGGCCAATGCTTCGACTTTGTGGTGGGCGACCCCCAAGATCCGCTCGCCAATCTGCGTTTTGCCGATGACGTATTGCTGCTTGCGCAATGCAAGTCTGACGTCGCGAAGATGCTTGCTCGCCTGCGCGAGCACGCCAGCCAGTGCGGACTGAAGGTGCACCTCGGCAAAACAAAAATATTCAGCAACAGATGTTTTAAGCCTGGGCATTATGTCAAAATCGGGGACCGTGATGTCGATATTGCGCCCATTTGCAAATCAGAGAAGTTTGCGGCGACTCGTGTGTTTTGGGTGGGGATTATCACGGTATTGAGCCATCGCGCCGGATGGCCGCTGCTTGGAGGTCATTGGCGACGTTCAAGAATGTTTCTAATTATCGCAGATATCCGCTGCTGGCTCGGTTGAGACTTTTCAGCGCGGTGGTGGCATCGGCAGCCTTGCGCGCCAGTTCATGCTGGACACGGAGAAGCACTACGTCAACGTTGCAGACGACGTGGAGAAGGATGTTGCGGAAAATTGCAACTCCCGCGTCGCTCTGACGAGCCCTGGGTTCATTACATACTAAGATCGACGCACTTAGCTATTTCGAAACCTGCGAATCTGGGTCTCGAGAGCTGGGTCGACATTCAAGAGCGACGCAAGCGGTCTCTGTCTGAACGTAGGTTGTCGGACACTCAGGGCAGATGGTCAAATAGACTACTGCTGTGGGCGCCAGAATTCCGTGCGCGGGCCTGGAGACGATCCGGTAGGCCGGTCAAGACGTGGGCTGACGCGTAGTTCGTTACTTCTCTACCAACGTATTTTCCCAGTTTCACCACCCACGGCCTGCCCAGGCAGTTTCTACGACTGCCAGCAGGGGCCGCTTCCGGCAGGGAGTGGGCGTCAGGCCGCTCCGCTCCGCTCTCGTAGTGTCCTAACATCGTCTCTATGGCCCCTGTTGAAATGTTCTTGGGGCGCTCTTGGGCGTTCTTGGATCCGTCTTGGGGCTCTCTTGGGCCTCTCTTGGGGCTCTCTTGGTGCCTCGGAGAGGCCGTCTTGGAGTCCATCTTGGGCGTCTTGGAGGCCTCTTGGGCCGTCTTGGGGCATCCTTGGGGCCGTCTTGGGGGCCTGTTGGGCCGTTCTGGGGCCATCTTGGAGGCCTCGTGAGCGATCTTGGGGCGATCTTTTGGGGCTCTTGGGCCGTCTCGTGCAGTCGGGAGGCCGAAAAGTAACAGCTGCCAGAATCTTGCAACGTCGAAGGGCAATCAATGATTTTGGCCTCTTCGGGCCTTCCTGGAGGGCCTCTGGGAGGTCTCGTGGGCCGTCTTGGAGGCCTCTTGGGCCGTCTTGGAGGCCTCTTGGAGGCTTCTGGGGGCGTCTTGGACCGTCTTGGAGGCTTCCGGGGCGAAGTTGCAGGTATCTTGGGTCCTCCTGGGCCGCCTTGGAGGCTTTCTTGAACCATCTTGGGCGAACTTGGAAGCCATCTTGCTTTCTTGGAGGCCATATAGGGCCATCTTGTGAGGCAATCGATTTCAGCATCCAACGAACGAGCGTCAGCCTTGCGCCGGACGGCGCGCGAGCAGGGTGAGACAGGATATACTTAGTGCCGCAATGCAGCACCATGTACAACTGGTGCCATTCATGTACTGCCGACTCCCAGGAGGCCGCTGCACTGCCGTCGCGGCAGAAGAATGCAGACAAGGCCTCCCGGGAGCCAGCCACGGACAGAAAATGGCGCATGACCATGCTGCCCTAAAATTGTGTTGAGCGTCCCCCCCTGCGTGGCCCTGATTCGGGTCGGATATCAAATCCGGCCGGCTCGAAAACCGAGCGTCGCGCAGGATCTGCGTCTGGACGTCCTGCGAGTTTCCCCATGAAGAGCATCTGTCGTTTCATGAGATTGTCGCTCTACGGCCTCTGTCTGGCCATGGTAGAAACTGCGGCGTTGGAGACTCGGCAGACATTCGCCGGCGGCGCGCGGTAGATTTTCTGCAGGCAGCGGGCGCGGAATCCGTCTGATCTTTTGCGTTCACATTTATTGAGCAACCAGAGAAAAGGGCTATACATTAATTTTGATACAATGCACGCGTTGAAAATTCTCAGCTTGCGTGTACGACCAAGAGTGGAATGCCCCCAAATAGCGTTCAAGACTTTAAAATCCTGCCCTGCTGCCCCTGTGCGACTGCTCAGCACAGACACGATTCTGCCGTCTGCAAACAGACGGGTGCCCAAGCACGCGACGGAACTTATGCAAGCCACCGGGACGCTGGAAGCGTTCAGAATGTCGGCGCCAGACTTCATCCTCAATAATTAGCTCCACTCCTTGCCAATTGAACTTGAGACCGCAGTGCATCTCGCGGGTCTCGACAGCATTCATGAGCGCCTGCGCGACGCGAGGGTCGCTGTCAATCAACAGGGTGTCATCTGCGTAGACAAGCTCTTTCACGAAATTCTCCCCCGGCAGCTCTCTCATGTTCGTGTGCACCATCTTGTGCGCATCCGTGAGGAGGGTGGTGATCGCGATCTTGACGAGGATAATGGAGAGTGGGCACCCTTGACACATCCCATGGCTTTGGGAGTGCTCGGCAGACGTCTCGTCAAACTCGCTCACGACGAAAGTGCGGTCTTGGTAAATGGAGGCCACGACGCGCGCGAAGTGGTCAGGCAATTCAAATCTTCTCAGAGAGGCCGCCAGCGCCGTCGGCGAAGCCGAATCGAACGCTTTGGCCCAATCTAATGCGAGCGGCAGGACCTCTCCGTCTCTGTTTGCCCTCGCGTCCTCTATCACCCGTCTTGCAAGGAAGATGGTGTCGGCCGTCCCCCTGCCAGACCAGAGACCGAATTGTGTCTTCCAAATCTTGGATTCGGCACCAGCGTGATTTAGACGGCCCAGCATTATCGCAGCAAACACTTTGTAGCCGATGGGGAGAAGACATATGGGTCTGTAGTTGTCGCACGACGCCGGATCGCCTTTGTTGTAGATCATGAGAACTGTACCTTTCCTCCAGGCGTCTGGCACGCTCGCCTGCGTCCGTGCCTTGTTGCGGAAAGCTGTGATCCACGACAGCGCTGTCTCGCCATCTCCAACAGCTGCCTTCATAATTCCGGAGGAAGCTTGTCCCTCCCAGCTGCTTTTCCACCGCGCAACCGCTTGACCGCCTGGCGGACTTCGACATCGGTGATTGGTCCGAGTAGCACCAGGAGCTCTCCGTGGATTGGTCTCTCGTCGGGCAGCACTGACGTGGGCCTTACTGCCCATTGCACCGTTTCCAGATTCTTGGCTAGCGTCTCGGCCCTGGCGCCGCTGTCCACCAGAGCGCCGGCAGCGTCCCGGAGGCGTCCTTGCTGCGGACAAAATCCCTTCCGTAGTTTGCGCGCCTCGCCCCAGTTGCCGTCTGCAGTGAGCTTCTCGAGCCAGTTCGCGCGGCCCCGCGCCGCAGATTTTCGCGCAGATTTAGCAAGGTTGCGCTCTGCAACAGTGGGTACTGACCGCCGCGCTTCTCCTCGACGGGCGTTCAGCTGCAGGGTGCTCTCTGTCACCCACGGCCTCCGTGCAGCAATCGGCTTCTCTTGCAAGGTTTGGGATGCCGCGTGCTCGAACGCGTCGACAAGCCCGCACTACGCAATGTTCACGTCATGCTGCTCATTGTCTTGTTCGTCTATATCTTCCAGGGAGCGCGAGAGATGCTGCCTGAAAATTCACTGCGTGCTTTCCTCGTTCAGCCGCTGCACGTCGAGCTCGGGCGGTCTCCCGTCCTCCGACACCCTGTCGACGGCCACGTGCAGCCGGGGCCGCCAGCACGAAGTGGTATGAGGCAAGCGGCACCTCGTGGCGTACCTGCACGTCGTTGACCTTCGGGAGCCAGTCCTGTTCGCAGACTACGAAATCGATCTGTGAGTGTCTACACAGTGCATTCTGCATCTTCTGGAGAGCGTGAACAACCAATCCGCCTCTGTCGAAGGACCCGGCCACATGCTGCTGTGAGTCTCGCATTGTGGGTATCGCCTTCTGTGGAGCTCCCCGTGGGACCACGAACCGCGTGAGGGGAGTGCCGTAATGCGTGGGGGGCGACGCGGGCGGCCGCGGCCTTTTGGCCTTCGGTGGAGCCCCCATATGGGGGCCACGAAGCGCTGTCCTGGGCGGGGACCGCATGCGGCCGCGGCCACTGGGGCCTTCGGTGGACCCCCTCGTGGGGCCACGAGCTGCTGCACCGGGTGGGGGGGGAGCCTGCGGCCGCGGTTGCTGGGACCTTTGTGTGGAGGGGAGCGCGCCGCAGAAGGAGCAGACACCGGGGAGGCGTGCAGGAATCAGAGGGGCGGACGTATCGGAAACGTGAGGGGCGCATGCGAGGGAGTGGGAGGATCACTCGATGGGGACACAAGGGAGACATGAGCGAGACAAAAAGGAGACATGAGGGAGGCAGGAGGGAGACATGAGGGATACCGTTGGATGGAGGAGGGGATGAACATAAGACGGGGAGGATCTTCTTATGATGCTTCTCAGCAGCTCTGCGTCTCCACCTCTGCCCGGAAACAGCAAATAGAGGCATAATGCCAGAACATGGAACCTGGACGTAGGGCAGGGTGCAGGAACAACGTCGGCCGCGCAGCCAGGTTGCCCCCAAGGGGGGCGGCGGATTTTCCAAAGAATCTCCTCTCCCCTTCCTTTGGCCTCCTCCCCGTCCATGTATTCCTACAGTCGGACCGAGGTATGAGATCGAGGTCTCGCAGGGGAGGGTGCCCTAATGTTTTTCTTGTGTTGGATGTTCTTGTGCATCTTGGGGGGGTACACTTGGATGTTCTGCGTGTTTTAGTCGGCGGATGGTCTCTTGTTCTTGAAGGATTTTACTCTGTCCTCGGTCCGACTTTACTCTCCTTCTCGTCCTTCGTCCATCCTGTTCATTCTCCCTCTGTCTTCGTTCTACCCTTTTCTGTCGCGTACAGCTGGCGTCCTCCGAAATACTTACTCTTCCAGCTGTGCGCCCATATGTTCCCATGTCGTGTATGCTTTAGCAGCGCGGACTTCTCAGGTCTGGGAGCCGCTTCATTTGGACTAGTTACTTTGAATCCAAAATCGGCCGAACATTCTGATTCTTGTCCGCTGCGCCATTTCAAAGCACGAGGGGCTTTGTGTATTGCTATCTCCCTTCAGGACGTGCCAACCGGCCTCTGCTTCACAAAGGGGGTCGCCGAGTTGCTCGGGGTGCAGACCGCCACTATCGATGTTGTGCTGAAGTGGGCCCAGGAGCGTCTATTTTCTGAGTCCATGTGGGTGATGGTGATGCTGCTGCTGCTGATGATGATATTGAGGATGATGATGATGCTGATGACGATAGAGGTGGTGATTGATAATGATGGTGATGATGACAATGAGGACGATGATTGGGATGAGGATGGGGATGCGGGTGAGTATTATGCTGCTTTTGGTGATCATCATGCTGCTGATGATGCTGATGATGATTCTGATTATGATGGTGGTGATGGTGATGTTAATGATAAGTGTGGTGGTGGTGATGGTTATGCTGCGGATGATGCTGATGCTGATGATGATGATTCTGATGATGACGATGATGATGTTGATGATGATGATGATGAGTATGCTGATTGTGATGATGCTGATGATGCTGATGATGCTGATGATGCTGATGCTGATGATGACGATGGACGATGCCGATGGTGAGATGGTGAGGAGGAGGAGGTTGAGGATGAGGATGATGATGTTGGTGATGATGATTATGATGATGATGCTGATGGTGATGATGATGATGATGATGATGATGATGATGATGATGATGATGATGATGATGCTGAGGATGATGCTGCTGCTGCTGCTGCTGCTGCTGCTGATGATGATGATGATGATGATGATGATGATGATGATGATGATGATGATGATGATGATGATGATGATGATGATGATGATGATGATGATGATGATGATGATGATGATTATGATTGACGATGATAGCGGTGGTGGTGATGATGATCAAGGTAGTGGTGATGATGATGATGAGGAGGAGGAGGTGGAGGAGGAACTGGGGGCAGGATGACGACGGAGCAGGAGCAGGAGCAAGCGGATCTCGAGCAGCAGCAGCGGCGGCGGCTGCAGCAGCTGCAGCAACACCAGACGGGAGCGGCACTAGGAGGAAGGGCAAGCGTGGTGGAACGATGCGGTGGCGCGTGCTTGGGAGAGGGGACCCGCAGGATCGCTCTTGGCGCTGCTCAGGATGCGTGCGTGCGAGCGCCTCGTTCCGAATAGTAAGTAGCACGCCATGGTGAGCCTGGCTTCCATCCAGTTTTCGAGAAGAGAGCACGCCCGACAGGTCCAGAACATTTCTCCGTGCCTGTCCGCGTTTGCCTGTTTCCTTTTGCTTTCTGGCTTGTTTGATTCGCGGGATGGTTTGCCTGCTTGCTTGTTTGCGCTTGCCTGTGCTTGCTTGGTTGCTTGGCTATCTGCTCGCGCTTGCTTGCCTGCGTGGCCTTGACCCTCTGGTCAGAACACGCTCCGGGACGGGGGGAGAGTTTTCGCCGCGTGGCCGTCGAGCACGGCGCTTCAAACTTCGGCACACGGCTCAGAGTCACACGACGAGGCCCTGCCCCCATGGCGAGCCAGGAGGCCGGGCGCGGCGAGCGGTTTGATTCGAACAGCCGGAGGGCGCCGAGAGAGCTCACGTCTGGCTAGATTCCGTCTAGCTTTGGGTGCCTGCCAGCGACGATACGGTTCCAGTGGTACAAGGAACCTCCGAGGTTGTGAGGCCGCCCGAGGCAGGCTCCGCCGAGGTGCCTCACACGACGTCCACGAGACTCCAATGGCCAAGCTCTGTCGGCTGGGCTTGGCACACCTTCTGGGTTCGCGGGGAAGCGCAGTTGGAGAGCCAGACGGGCCGCGGCACGCGGAGGCATTACCTGCGTTGCCAGTGATTCTCGAGCCAGTGCCAGGTGTGCAGAGGCCCGGAGGTCGCAGGCTGGCCACAGAGGTAAGAGCCCGCCAGCGAGCAGTCAAACGTTCCGTGAGGCAACGACCGCACTGCCGAGCCACTCTTCCTGTCCGGGGGCTGGCTTGTCGCGCGCCAGGGCCCCGAGCTTAGCATTGGGCGTTCCCAAGAGTAGTGCTGAAAGGGAATCATTCGATTTCGTCACAAATGTGTCCCGCCGCCCTCCGTAACAAATGTTTTTGTGCGCATTTATTTGACACATTCATCAGGTGGTCGGCAGGTTCAGCACCAGCTCTTGAGACGGGCCGGGAGAGGATCAGCACCAACCAGATCGTCGGTCATGTGCCCCTTTGCCAAGGGCGCGCTCGAGGGCGCGAAGTTCTTCGCGCTTCGCGCCTCGCGGTTCGGCTCCGATCCCTCATCCTCCTCTTCTTCCCCGGGAGGCGGCGCGAGAACGCGAAGCTATTCGCACTTCGCGCTTCGCGCAGCGCGAAGCGCGAAGTTGGGAGCCCTTGTTTACGCCGTTGCGCTATTGAGTGGGCACCATCTTGGAAGCCGCAGCCCAGGCAAGCGTGTCCGCCTGAGCTCTTCGGGCGGACAGCCCCGAGCAGCCGTGGGAGAGGCCGCGCGCTCGCCGCATGCCGACAGAGTCACCGAGCCCCTCCGAGCCGACAAAGGGCACTCTGGCGCGAGGCAGCGCAAGCAGCCACGTCGCCGTGCCAGCCGCAGGCCACGGCTGTCCTGCCTGCGCCCCTTCCTGCGCATTCCAAGGCTACCCCGTCGCCTCACAGCAAACGATGTCAGCGCCAGCCGCTTGCATGCCACAGCAGTCACCACGCGACGCGATATGTATATATACACATATATATAATCATGTGACGGCCACTTGCAGCGACCGTCCCGCGGCTGAGGGGACGACGGCGACTACTACGACCATCGCGACGCCGAAACACTGCGTTCCACAAGCGGGCCTCGATCCTCCTCCTTGGGTAAGAAGGGGCTTGAGCCAAACACGCGAGACTTGATCCTCCTCCTCCCCCTCCCCCCCTCCTCCTCCTGCTTCCAGCCTCCTCCTCCTCCTCCTCCTCCACCCTTTCCTATTCTCCTCCTCCGCCGTCCCTTCCTGCCCCTCTTCATCCCCCTACTCTTCGTCCTCCTCCTTCCCCCTCCTGCTGCAGCCGCCCAGCCTCGGCAGCTCTCCTTGTAACACCCTCCATCCACAGGGCAAGCTCGGGAAGGAGTTTTTGACCGACGCCAACAAGATGGCGGGAAAGGACACCCGTGCGCGGGGGGGAGGAGGCGGAGGAGGATATATGATGAAGAGGAGGATCGATGACGAGGATGCTGATGATGCTGCTGCTGACGAGGCTGTTGATGAAGATGCTGTTGCTGTTGCTGTTGCGGTTGCTGTTGATGATGGTGTTGATGATGGTGGTGATGATGCTGATGAGGATGCTGATGAGGTTGCTGACGAAGTTGGCGGTGGTGCTGCTGATGCTGCTGATGCTGATGCTGATGTTGATGCTGATGCTGATGTTGTTGTTGATGATGATAATGATAATGCTGCTGCTGATGATGCTGCTGCTGATGATGATGATGATGATGATGATGATGATGATGATGATACTGATGATGCTGATAATGCTGCTGCTGCTGCTGATGATGATGACGATTATGATGACGATGATGACGATGATGATGATGATGATGATGATGATGATGCTGATGATGATGATGATGATGATGATGATGATGATGATGATGATGATGATGATGATGATGATGATGATGATGATGGCAATGGAACGTAGGTCGCAATCCGAGCACTGCGCCTCGCCGCCGCGGCGGCAGCGAGCTACAAACAGCGCGGAGGCGGCGACGAGGAGCCCGAGGATCCCACCCGACAGGTGCACCCCGGCAGCGGCCCTCCTGGGCAGGCGGGCCACTGCCGAGGCCCCACTGCCCCCGCGGGGGACCGGAGACCAGCCGCCCACCGCACGCGGCCACCGGGGCCGCCCCCTGGCCCCGCGGGCCCGCA